GAGGTCCAAGGCACTTCCTCAAAGTTGCAAAAGGAGAAAAGGAGTCTCAGAGGACTGAAGTGACTGATCCAAGGTCACACAGCCTGGCACCACAGATCAAGGACTCTGAACAGGGGTCCTCACTTCAATACCTACATCCTTTCTATGATGCATAGCTGTACTGGTCATGGCATCTTTATAAGCCATTCTTCACAACCCACCCCTCGTCTACAGCATGGGAAGAGAACACAGAGATGCCTGTAGTGTGTTTCGTGAAAACCCAGCACATGGAAGGAGCTGATGCTGAGTGAAGCCACATGGAGAAGTGAAAATATAAAGAAATGCTCTTCTTAAGCTCTGGGTTCTCAACTTTTTAGACATGGCAGTCTTTAAAATTTCCAGGATGAGTCATTTTACTCCCAGCTAGTAATGAGAACATCTAACGGTTATTGAGTGATTTCAATAACCAGAACCCTGGGTCTGACCAACTCACCTAATATTTAGGTCCATTCTTTGAGATAGGAACTGTCATTATCTCACCTTCCAGGTAAGGAACTAAGGCATAGGGGTTCAGAGCCGTGCACACAGCTATGTAAATAGAAAGTGGTAGAGTGAGGATCTGAATCAACAATGCAACTCTGCTCCAAAACATGCAACACAACATTTCTAGTCCAGCAGGGAAATCTTTCTCAACGTCTGACCTAAATCCCCTCTGCAGCAGGCTGTGGCCATCCCCTAGTCCCTCCTCTGCAAAGAAAAAAAATATGCTTCCTTTAACCTCCATTCTTTGCTCTAAGGCCTGAGTTCTTTGGGCCTTGGTTCCCAGCTCTGTGGCTCCTGCAGGACAAGTGAGGACAGTTCCAGAGCACTAGTAAGGAGGCACTACCCTGGGCCCAGACTATACCTCCCCACCAGCCTCCTGCTGCCTTTTTTCTTCATCCCTTAATCAGGGCTGTTTCCCAATACCTGCACTGGTCCAGGTCAGTCTCCTGCCTGACTCTTTCATTGGTTTCTCCATTCACAGACAGGTCCCATGGTGCAGAATCACTGTGTGCACATACTAATATTAAATGTAGTACCATTTCATATATTCTATTAAAAGAAGCTGGCTTAAATATTGGAACCATGTGTAAACAAGCTTCCTGATTTAATTCCTAGTATGTAGGAAATATGCAAGACAGAGGGGCAGATTAAGTGACACCAGTGGGAGAGATGGCCAGCCAAAAACTGATTGTGGGACATGCTGAAGGCAAAAGGCCCAGACTCTTCAATAAATACATGGCAAAGATGACCAAAGAGGAGGCGCTTCTAGATCAAAGCAGGATCCAGAGACTCATGTAGTATATGGGTGTTATTAAGGTCTTGGTTTGAAAAAAACTGACTGTAAATGATGTATGTAAGAAATCATTTGTGAAAGCTGAACACAAAAAGTACTGTGCAAGTGGATGGAGGGGAAGTGAAATCGCCAGGCAAAGCAACCACCTGCCGTGCAGTTTGTCCTATCTGAGGGACAACTACCAAGCAAACAAATGAGACAAATTTGGTGATAGTGAGACTGAGAAGTGAAATAAACTGGGGGACATGAATGAGGACAACTAGGGGATGGAAGAGGGTGCTATGCTAGATGAGGTAACTGGGGAGGACCTCTCAAAGAAGGAGACATTGGAGCTGAGACCTGAGAAACGGAGGAGGACGCAGAGAGGGGAATCTGAGGACACATTGCTCCAGGAGAAGCCAGGGCCTGAGTATGTGCAACCACTCCACAGCATCTCTTTACTCTTTCTTTAACTCTCTCTTTTGTTGTGCGTTCAGACTTACAGAAAAGTTGCAAAGAGAATACAAAGAATTCTTGTATATCCTCAGCCAGATTTCTCAGTGGTATCACATTTGCTGCATCATTCTCTTTCTCTCCCCTTCTCTCTCTGACTCTCTCTCCCCACACCCCACCCTCCCCCCACCCCCCACTCACAGACACCCGCACTTTTTACAATCACTTGAATGTCAGCTTCCCATGTAAGTTGTCCAGCTCAAGCCCCTGGTAATTCAGTCTCTTTCCTAGAAACAAAGGCATTGTCTGACATTATCACAGCACATTTTCAAAGCTGGGACATTCACAATGACCTAATACAACTATGCGATCCTCAGAGCACATGTGGAGTTACCAACTGACCCTTTGAAAGTAGACAATGTAGCATGTGGACAGGCCAGCTCAGGGCAGAGCAGCCTTGAGCAGAGCCTTATTTGAGCCTGAGGCAGAAGGTGACTTTGTGCACTTGCCAAAGTACTGTGCTGTATTTTGAACCAAGTGAAAACCCCTTACTACAGCTTTAAAATAACATCTATCATTCTATATGTCCTGATCCATTTTCAGATCATTGTCTGTCCTCATTTACCCACCCTGCAGGGCATACTGTGTTGCAGGAACTGGAAGCTACTGAAATGACTGTTTCTGTTGCAAAACAACAGCCTGTCTTTATGTACAGTTTTGAAATTTTGTTTATTTGCTCACATTTTTAGTGCCCACTGAATTTCTGCACCCTAAGTACATGTCTCATTCACAACACCCTAATACCAGCCCTAGCCACCACACATCATCTATTGGTCCTCCTGATGGTATAGTGCATGTGTATGCACTTTGTGCTCAACAGTCTTATGATGAGCCTGAGAATGGGTTCTTGCTCCACTTGACAGGTGGAAAAAATGAGAGGCCCTATAGTAGTTTGATCAGCTGGCATAATAAAGTTTCACAGGCTGTGTGCTTAAACAACAGAAAAAACTTTTTTTTTCCACAGTTTTGGAGGCTGAAAGACTGAGATCAAGGTATCCTCAGGGCTGGTCTCTTCTGACAGCTCTTTCTTTGGTGTGTGGACAGTTGTCTTTTCACCTTGTCTTCACATGATACAGTGGTCAGGGCCCTTGAGGGAAGAGAACTTATAGGAGGTGGGTAGATGTGTGCACACACAGACACATGCTTTTTTGGTTGGTTTGCTTAATTGTTTGTTTTAAGGAATTAGCTCATGTGTTTGAGGATGCTGACGAGCAACAAATTTGTAGCTGGCAAGCTGGAGACCTTGAGCTCCAGAACTTCCAGGAGAGCTGAGGGGGCAGTTCCAGTCCAAATGCCAGAAGGCTTGAGACCGAGGAGAAACATTGAGAGGCAATGTTCCCGTTTGTGTCTAGATGCAGGGAAATGCTGATATCTCTCTCAGTTTGAGGGTGGTTGGGTAGGGGATGTTCCCTCTTATTTAGTACTTTTGTTCTCTCCAGGGCTTCAGCTAATTGGATGAGTACCACCACACAGGGGAGAGAAATCCGATTTCTTCTGTCTACTGCTTTAAATGTTAATCGCATCCAGAATCACCGTCACATACACACAACCACAATAATGTTTAGCCTAATATGTGGACTTCCCTGGCTCAGTCACGGTGACATATAAACTTTAACATTCAGGCCTGGTTGTTCATCTGTGTGTACGTATGTATTACAACAACAAGAAATAAACTAAAACCCCGAATGACGACTGCAGGAAAATGCCCACCAGTGGGAGCCAGTTAAAAGTATATATGTGCTAATAGCATGTGACAGGGTCCACCTGTAGCCTTGAGAATGGGATGTTTGCAAGCCCCTGTTGTTGACAGTCACTAGTAAAAGAAAACATATCTCATGAAACTGCATGTTCAGAATGAGCTATGCAATTAGACAGATGCTGGCAGAACATATGTCAATTGTGCTGTTAACACAGTTGGCACCTGGGAGTGGTAAAATTATGGCTCAACTTTATTTCTCTGTGTTTTCATTTATTTTTCAAAATTGCTACCACATGCTGATCTCTAATGAGAGTAAATATTGAAAAATGGTCTTCAGTCTAAAAGCGACTGAAAACACCAGTGAACTAATTTTTAAGAGAAGACCTGAAAATTAGAATGTACAGGGCCAAAGCACAGGTCATGAGTAGTTTGGGGGTTTGAATCTGGCTCTCCTGCCACCTGATGTAACACCTCTCAGCCTGCTTCTGCCTGCAGTGATCAGATCCTATCCATTTCCTCACAGATGATGCTGGGAATACTGGTAGAGTGTATGTATGCAGCACACCTAGGGAGAGAGTTGGTGTCCTGAGGCACGTGTTTCACCAAGGTGACCGGCATTTCCAGAAACAGAAAATCAGGACACTGCGAAGGCACTTTTTGGCACAGGGTGCTGCTGGCTGGGCACCCAGCTGCTGCCCTCAATGGGTCCTCACTGGATTGAGCCCGTTTTGTGATTTTCACAGTAATGCTATAGCCACTAGAAGGTGAGATCCCCTCACAGCCTCTGCAATGACCCACACACCCAGACTTGGCCCCACCAGTTGCCTGTCCACATACTGCCTCACTCTGCCTCAGGCACAATGGCCTCTTCTTTTCTGCAATATTTAGAATGTGAGTTTCTCAATTATTTATTCAAAGTGATACGTTATTTTATGGAAAGCCTTTATCACTTTGGATATGTGTTTTGTTGAGTGTGAGAAGTATTTACCAGTATGTTGTACTTGCACGTTTACTGTATATGTATTTTTTTACATTTTTATTCTTTCAAAGAGATACATTCCAAAACTTTTAGCATATACACATATTTTTCTGCCTTACATAGTCCTTTGATTTAAATATACCCACTTTTACCCTGGCTTCACCTACCTCATTTGGTGACAGCATCATCCAAATAGAACAAGGAGGCGAGGTCCATCTCTGGTCAGGGCACACACAAGAACCAACCAATGGTGGCAAAGGGCCACCAGGCCCTTTCTTGCTCCAGAGCCTTAGCATGATCAGTATGCTGCCCAGGAAGACATTCAAACACATAGCAACAGGCAGTGACCCTGACCAAACTCTTTGGCAAAATTTCAGAGCTGGGACCCAGGCCAGGCCTGCAGGGAACACCATGAGCAGGCCTGACCCTGAAGACCCCTGGCCCTGGGGTGTCCTCCCACCTCCACCTCTGGGTGGCTGTGGTTTCCTCTTTCCCAGTCACCTGCTAGTGCTTACCCTGCAGAGACATCTGGGAACTGGCTTTTCTCTGGGTCAGCCAGGCCAGGTCTGTCTGCTGACTGGGGTTCCTGGTGAGGACAATGCTGGAGCGCTGGGTTCCCAGGTCACCCAGCCCAGAAAGGCAGGGCCCCCTCAGGTCCCATGATGGCGGTTCCTCAGCTGGGTGGGGCAGGCTGAGGGCACAGCAGGCCTGGGCTCTGCTCTCCAGTCTCATCCCACTGTTCAAATGTTGTGTGACCTTTGGCAAGTAACTGCCTGTGTCTGAACCCCGGTTCCTACCCTGGAAAATGGAAAAAGCCCAGTACTCACAGGGAATGATATACAGGGGGTCACAGGAGATGAGTTGTCATAGCACACACCCTGGGAGGGTATACCCAACATCAGCATGCTAGCCCAGGAGAAGCGTGCTTCTCCATCCATGTCAGTCCACCCCTGGCGAGGGTGTTGGAGATGCTGGGCACCCAAACACACCCCAGGGTTGGGGTGAGAGCCATGGGAAGAGCCATGGTCATTCTCTACTCTAGTGGGGGTACCACCTATTAGTACTGTGCAGGTCATCTTGCTCAAGTGCAAATTAGATACATCCCTCTTTGGCTTTGCAGAGCTCCCAATAAATCCACGTTCCTGAATTAGCATCATGGCTCTACTAGTGCCATTCACCACTGACAATTGCCCCTTTTCTTGCTCCATCACATGCCAACCTTGTGCCTACTGTAGGTCCATTCTGTTCCCACTCTCCCAACACTTTTTTTCTGAGTTCTTTGCAGGGCTCATTCTCTGCAGGTCTTAGAGGACAGTTCATTTCCTTGGGAGGCATGCCTGAGCACCCTTGCTGAAATTCGTGCTCCCTTGCCCAGGAGCCATTTATATCATCCTCTTTAGTTGTTGTTTTTGTTTTCCCCCAGCTTCTGCCACAGTTGAATTTTGGGTCTGCAGGGAAGTGTCATCACCTACTTTGGTCATCACATCATCTCTCAGCTCACTCACGAGCCCTGGTATGCAGCAGGCACTCTAAAATTGAGTGTGGTGGTGGTTGCGCAATCCAATGAATATACTAAAATTGTACACTTCTAATATGTCATGTATTTTTAGCTATGTAGTCTATTTGGTGGGGGGAAGGGAGATGTTGTTCTCCTCCACCCTCCATTACTCTGTTAGCTCTGTAAAGGTAAGAATTTTTATCTGATTTGTTGACCACTGTGTTCTCAGTGTTTGGGACACTGTAGCGGTTCAAGAAGAGGTCGAACGAATGGGGAATGCTGGGTAAAGCATACAATGGTGTCTAACCACTATGTTGTACACCTGAGACTATAAGAAAATATATTAAATATAAACTGTAATTGATAAAAATTTAAATTAGAAATACACGCTTCAAAAACTGCTCCACGAGTGGAATTGGAGCTCAAGGTACAGTTGCAAAGTGAGTCCCACTGCTCTAGCTGTTTAAAAAGTTACAAATTGAGATATTTCTATACATGTGAACTTACTAATTTTGCACTCCTGTGGTTTCTTCCTTGTAGTTTAAAACATTACCCAAGTGTACTCCACCTGAGGGACTTTCTCTTGCTCTGCCACTTCCACTTCTCAGACTTTCTGCATCTCCTCTATTACTTGAAGGAAGTGGTAACCTCCATCTACCATCACTTTTAAAATATCAAGTTTCAAAAGTTCAGTAAATAAGTTCTGCATGGGCATGGCTAGAGAATATAACATTAAAATATAAAGGGAACCAACCATATGGGAGGAAATATTTGCAGATGATACCTCAGACAATGCTCTGATCTCCAAACTACACATAGAACTCACACAACTCCAATCCAGGAAGACAAACAACCCAATTAAAAAATAGACAAAGGACTTGAATGAACATTTCTTCAAACAGAACATACAAAGGGCCTAGAGACATGAAAAGATTCTTAGAATCACTAGCCATCACAGATGCAAATTAAAACCACATTGAGATACCACTTAACACTGATGAAAATGGCCATCATAAACAAATCAGTAAACAAATGTGGGAGAGGTTGTTGAGAATATGGAACCCTAATGCACTGTTGGTGGGATTGGAGACTGAAGCAGCCACTGTGGAAACCGGTCTGGAATTTCCTCAGAAAACTAAACATGCAATTTCCTTTTGGCTCAGCAATATGACTGTTATTCCCTAAGTATCCTGAAACACCAATTCAAAGCATCTGTGCACCTCATAGCAGCACAATTTCACAATAGCCGAGTGCTAGAAGTGACCTGAACACCCATAAGTAAATGAAAAGATCAAAGTACTATAGTACGTTTATGTGAAGGAATACTATATATCAGAAAGAAAGAAGGAGCTCCTACCCTTTGCAATACCATGGATGAAGGTTCTGGGGAGCGTTATGCTAAGTGAAACAAGCCAAGCGGTGAAAGAGAAATAGTTTGTGATCTTACCTACAAGTGGAACCTAATCAATAAAATGAACAGGCAAGCAAAATAAAAGAGAAATTTAAATAAACAACAATCTGACAGAAATCAGAAAAAAAGGGAGAGGGACAATAGTAGGTAACAGGGGGTATCAAAGGACAAGTGGACAAGCCAAAGGGGGTGGGAGGCAAGTATGGGTGGAGTATGGGGTGTGATGGGGTGTAAATGGAGACAACTGTACTCAGACAATAATAAAAAATTTGAATGTTGATAAGTGATACCCAAAAACCTGTTGCTATGGTTTTCATGTCTCCACCTTGATCATTATTTTTATTGATACCACCAATTCATTACCTTCCAACTCAATGCTGATGACAACAAGAAAAAAGTCATCAAATGAAGGAGAACTTTAAAAACAATGAATAGACAGCTATTAATTTCTGCTAGTGCCTTGGGCCCTTCCCTTCCTGGGCCACTAAGGACTCAGGTGGCCTTGCATCCCCAGGTGCCCCCTTTCTAGCCCTCCTATCATGGTCCTAACCTGCCACACTCCACATCATCTTTAGTAAGTTCTGTAGCAGGGATATGCAGTGTATTAAACAGACGAGTTGGATGGGCATCTATACATCCCTTGTGCTTGGAATTCTACATGATGGTGAGGGAGACCTTTGGAAGTGAGGATATGGGTATGGCAAGTTTAAATATCTGTTCCTTCTACCTTGTCTGGGAGGAGGAGGAAGGGAGGGAAGTCTGACTGCTGACATGGAGACCTGCCCCTTGGGCAGGTGACACATACTGTGTACCATTCAGGAGAAAGTGGGACCTGAGAGTGGCTAACAATTCATAAGTCTACTTCTCTTTAGCTAGCATACATTGTTCATTCTCTTGGGCATCTGCCTGTGACATGACAGGAGATAGGTGACATTTTCTGTTTGGCAGAACTGCAAATGGGAGCAAGTGATGGGAATGAGGGAGGTTTAGAGGCAGAACCACTGTGAAGCTGTGTGGTAGGCTCAGAGAAGGGTGCAAGAGTACAGGTGTGAGGTGTGGCATTAGAGGCTTCTCACAGCCTGCTGTGTGCAGTCAGGTGCACGCAGCACCCACATAGCATTTGGTCACACTGAAGGGGAAAATTCAAACCTGTGTCAGCAGACGGAAGCCTTGAACACTGAAGCAAAACACTCAGTGATAGAGCACACCCCAAAACAACAAAGTTTATGTTTTTGTCAAGCAAAGTTGCAACCTTTCCCCAAGAAGACCTGTACACAGGCCCAACACCTTGTACTAGTACTGGGGAGTCCAGTGTGTGCTGGTGGAAAAACAACACAGTACTCTGTGAGGATTCATATATATATATATATATATATATATGAAGTCAATGGATGGCCCTTACAAAGCTAGTCCTGCACCTGTGGTAATATGGGCTGCAAATAAGGGGTGAGTGGGCAAGCCTTGGCACCTACAGGCCAGACAACGTTTCAAACATGCTCATTAGAACTAGTCCTGTAGGCACAATTCCATTCCCTTTGTGTGCAGCAGCTAATGCCTGCATTGGCATGGACTGATGACTGGGATCTGGTCCATTCTGTAAGGCCCAACTTCCCAAACCCTCGGACTTCATTCTGTTACTCAGGGCAGACAGACCACACCTCATTGCTATAGGGAAGAAAGGTCTTGCCCTGGATACTAACACCTTCAACAGACCCATGGACATCTCACCCAGTACAGCCAAGCACTGCACAGTTTAGGCCCTCGATTGTCAGACTCTTTTCTTGAACTTCCTCTTCTTGATAGGGAGAATGGTAGGAGCACATGATCATGCCTTTCTCTTCTTTATTCTTCCTCCACACCCCTTCTGGCATGAAAAAATGCAGCTCCTGATGCATTCCCAAAGCAAAACTTAACCTCTTCTTACTGCCATATGGACCCAGCCCTCCAAGGGAAAGATCATTCCCAGGCAGAGTGAAATACATGAACTCTCTCACCTACCCATATGCACAAACAACATGCAATCATACACACTTGGTGCTGTTTATTTACCTTTACATTTTACTCCAGGCTAATTGATGTGCCTGTGTCTGAAGGCCTTGCTACCCAATCACTCTTCAGTTATTTATTTCCTGTGTAACAGAAAAAAAATGTGCTTGAAAACCCATTTTCTCTTAGAAGGCTTTGTCAACAAAATATTCTTTTAGATGAACTGGACTCTTTGTCCTATGTATCTTATCTTCTGGGAGTTCCCAGAAACACAATACAGAGTGGCACTCTCATATCCACTATCACAGGGACAGACCCTGCTTGCTCCTGTTTCACTGACTTCTTGCCTTGCTCCTTTGATTTAGCATCTGACTCCTCCTCTGCCTCCTCCAATACATGCCCATCCTGCATGCAGCCCACCTCTTCCAGTTCAAACTGTTCATCAGAAACCCATTGCTCCTGCATCCTCCCCTCCTGGTCCCAATCCAGGTCTCTGTGCTCTTCTGTCTCCACTAACAGCTTCTCAGCCAACACCTCCTCCTGCCTGCCCACATGCAGGTCTAGCCAGACCTTTGCCCCCGACCTCAAACTTTCATCATCCGCCCAAACCTGCACCACATGCGTGAGGTCTGCCCCTTCTGCCACAAACTGCTGCACTGATACCAGTGCACTGTGGGGTCCCTACTCCTCCTCCCACAGCTCAGCCACGTAAGCACTCTGCTGGACCTCAGGCTTTTCATCATCCCCCCAGCTGCGACTCTGCCACCACACCTCCCTGCTGCCCACCTCATGTGGCCGCAACTCCGTGCCTGCTGCTGCCACACTTCCTCTCCCTGCAGCCAAGAGTCCATCCCCAGCTGCCAAGATTTTGTCCACTGCCAACGTGGTCCAGCCCCAGCCCCAACTCTACACTGCACAGCTCCTCTGTCCTCACCTCAAGCATCACCTTCCTGTGCTGATGTTACTTGGGAGCCACAAGCACTCTGGGCTATTCCCTTGACCTTGGCCAGCACCATCCAATCTCTCTGTAGTGACCTGACTTTCTAGAGAACTCATTCCTCCGTGCAGTGCCCAAAGCAGTGAAAACAACCCAGGAGGCCTGTGGAGACTGGCTGTTGGTCACCGGAGACTGACTAAGATGTGCATGGTTCTGGTCAAGCCCAGAAAATGCCTGCAAGTGTGGTCAGCACACCTGGAGGGGCCTGCAGTGCTGCATGAGCCCCAGTGTTAAATCTGAGTTTCAGAGCCAATAACAATGCTAGGGACAAAGGGTGAATGCATAGTTTTTCAAGAGTGGTGAGCAATCTTTTGGTTCACAGGCCTGTGCTCAATCTACTAAGCTACACCAGCCAGGGCCTAAAAGGGGACCCTAGTGCACTGTTGATGGAATTGCAGACTGGTACAACAATTATGAAAAAGAGTATGGAATTTTCTCAGGAAACTAAAAATGAATCTGCCTTTTGATCCAGCAATTCCACTACTAGGATTATATCCTAAGAACCCTGAACCACCAATCCAAATGAACCTATGCGCCCCAATGTTCATAGCAGCACAATTTACAATAGTCAAGAGTTGAAAGCAACCTACATACCCTGAAGTAAATGAATGGATCAAAAAACTATGGTACATTTACACAATGGAATTCTATGCAGTAGAAAAAAAGGAGCCCCTACCTTTTGCAACACCATGGATGGAACTGGAAAGTATTATGCTGAGTGAAATAAGCCAGGCAGTGAAAGACAAATACCATATGATCTCACTGTTAACAGGAAGCTAAAAAACAAAACAAACAAACAAGAAAAATAAAACCAAAGGCACTGAAATACAGAACAGGCTTGACAGTGCTAGGGGGAGGGGAGAATTTCAGGGGAAGGGGGAACGGTTTATAGAAACTAGTATAAAGGACACATGGACAAAAACTAAGGTAGGGAGGATAGGGGGGAGGTGCGGAGCACTGTGGGGGGGCTGGAATGGGAGTAAAAGAAAGAAAACTGTACTTGAACAATAATTAAATTAAAAAATTTTTAAAAAGAGTGGTGGGCAGTTGAGAAGCCGCCAGCAGCCAGACATTGAGTGCTCTCCAGACATGTTGTGCTCCACACACATCTCCTCCAATTAGTGATGTGACCTTGGGTGGCACCCTCCTTGGTCCTGCCTGTCGGCCATTCCCCCTCAGGCAGCTTCCTCCCTCCTGCAGCCCCTAGCTGTCCAGGATGTGCACCCCTGACACCCGCTTCTGGGCCTTCTCTGGATATCTGCCCCCCGCTGTGTGTAGGTTTCAAGTGCTAACCAGAGTCTCCCACTACCCCTTTATATCTCCAAGCATGTTTTCTGAAGGTCCCACCATGGGCCTCATAAGAGGAACAGGGATAAACGTCCTGGGCATCAGAGACCCTGCTTAAGGTGAGGGAAATTCCAATTATTTGCCTTCACATGAAGGGCTGTTCATAGCCTAGGAGGACAGGCCGTTCATTTAGTATGCATGTCTCTCTGAAAAAGTTATTTTCTGTGTTTTAGGAGCTCTCTTGCTGTCACTTTCTGTGAAGTGAAGGCAGGCAGGTGACAGAGATGGAGAGAAGGAAAGAAAGTGAGAAGCAGGAGATGGGCCCAGAAGAAGGCAACTCTCCACAGACGGACTGATAGGAGTCTGCCCTTTCCATGGCCTTCTTTTCTATTGGTCACTCATCACTGCCTCGGTAGAGGCTGCAAAGATTAGTACCAGAGTTTTGTCGCCTGAATGTGTTGTTTTCTGTAACTTCATGGGCTTTGGCGAAACCTCTATTGTTTGTAGTCAATACCACATTAGAGGATTCAGATTTCAGGTGATAATAAATATTTGAATTCCCAGCCATTTTTGATTACTGTGCTGGGCTTTTTTCCCTTTGCACAAAGTAAATGGGAAAGTGTCCAGGGTGTAGCGTAGGGACCTCATTTTGGGCACACGGCACTGTGGGACTCTAAGTGGAACATAACTGCAGATTTTCTTAAATTTGACTACAGGGAAGCCACTGGGAAGCCAGTTTCAGTGTGCACATTGGTTTCCTTTGCCCTTTCCCTCACACGGGTTTACTGCGCCTGCCTCTGGCACAGCCCTCTGTATCCCTACTTCCTCTGAGACTCAGGAGTGTATGACTTCCAGGTTCTTAGGCTCTTTACAGCTGCTGGTTCCTGCTCTGGGCTACTTCTGGAGCTGGCAGCTGTTGGGAACCTGCCTGCCTTGTTTCAGAAACTGTAACCACTCATACCTATAGTTGACTAAAGGACCTTGGGATCCTAAGCCACTAAGGAGACAAAGCTTATCTTTCTGGCAGGGGTGCTGCCTCTGCCCCCTTTATTTTCCCCTCCTTGGCCCAGGAAGATGACTCGTTAGCCAGTGATGGGTAAGATTCCTCAAGGGAGGGATGACCTAAGACAGGCACAGTCAAAATAGGGTCATCAGAGAAGGACTATAGGAATAGAAGGTGATGGACCCTCACACATTAGCTTTGACATAGCCTGAGTCCTCATTCTGTCTGTGAGAAGTCTCCTAATCTCCTGGCTGCCTTACTTTTCCTGCCTGACTTAAACCTGAAACAATGCCTGAGGGAAGTGAGTCCCTGGGTAGGAACAGGGGGTTCCCCAGGGTGATCAGGTCTTAGAAAGAATGCATAAAATCCTGTGAAATCTCCTCTGCTAAGAATGCCCTCATTTTTCTTTTTTTTCTTCTCTTTTTTAAAAGAAAGATTAAAAATATTTTATTTATCCTTAGAAGGAAAGGAGAGAGGGAGAGAAACATCAATGTATGGTTGCCCCTAGTGTGTGCCCTGCTGGGAACTGGCCTGCAACCCAGGCATGTTTCCTGGCTGGGAATTGAACCATATCCTCTCATTCATGCAGACCCACACCCAATCCACTGAGCTACACCAGCCAGGGCTTACAATCCCCTCAATTTTCTGGTAAGTGTTCAAGCATAAAATGCATCTGTTTCCCAAAGTTTTGTGGCCCTTTAGCTAACAGACCCAGACTAGTTCTTTGAATGTTATCTTTTTTTAATATATATTTTTATTTTATTGATTATGCTATTATATTTGTTCTATTCCCCCCTTCATTCCCCTCCACCCTGCACACCCCTCATCCATCATTTCCCCCCTTTAGTTCGTGAACACATGTCTCAAGTTCTTCAGATTCTATATTTCCCCTACTATTCTTACCCTTCCCCCTATCTATTTTCTATCTACTGTCTATGCTACTTATTTTCTGTACCTTCTGCCCCCTTCTCCTTCTCCCACTCCCCTGTTGCTAACCCTCCATGTGATCTCCATTTCACTCCTGATCTAGCTGTCCTCTTAATTTGATTTGCTTTAGGTATGTTTGTTAGTAACTATGAGTTTTCTGTCCTTTCACGGTTCATCTTTTTTGTCTTTTTTTTTTCCTTAGGTAAGTCCCTTTAACATTTCATATAATAAGGGCTTGGTGATGATGAACTCCTTGAATTTGATCTTATCTGAGAAGCACTTTATCTGTCCTTCCATTCTAAATGAAAACTTTGCTGGATAGATCAATCCTGAATGTAGGTCTTTGGATTTCATGACTTGGAATACCTCTTTCCAGCCCCTTCTTGCCTGTAAGGTCTCTTTTGAGAAATCCACTGACAGTCTGATGGGAACTCCTTTGTAGGTGACTGTACCCTTAGCTCTTGCTGCTTCTAGGATTCTCTCCTTCATTTTAATCTTGGCTAATGTAATGATGATGTGCCTTGGTGTGTTTCTTCTTGGGTCCAACTTTTTGGGACTCTCCAAGCTTCCTGGATTTCCTGGAAGTATATTTCCTTTGCCCGATTGGGGAAATTCTCCTTTATTATTTGTTCAAATAAGGTTTCCACTGGTGGCTGTTCCCTTTCCCCTTCTGGTACCCCTATAATTCGGATGTTGGAGCATTTAAAGATGTCCTGGAGGTTCCTAAGCCTCTCCTCATTTTTTTGAATTCTTGTTTCTTCATTCTTTTCTGTTTGGTCATTTTTTTCCTTCTGGTCTACTTTCTTGATTTGAGTCACAGTTTCCTTCCCATTACTATTGGTTTCCTGTGCATTACCATTCATTTCAATTAGCTTAACCTTCTTATGTTCCTCTAATTTGTGACTAAAGTCAACCAGTTCTGTGAGCATCCTGATCACCAGTGTTTTGAACTGTGCATCTGAAAATTTGGCTATTTCTTCATTGCTTGGATTTATTGGCTCTGGGGCTCTGAGTTGTTCTTGAGCCATGTTTTGATCTGTTTGTGCCCATTAAGTATTAGGAGAGGATCCTTAGTTGTTCACCAGCATGGGGCCACCCAGATCACTGATTTGTGACACTGTGCATGGGGGTGGGATCAGAGAGGTACAATGGCGGTCCTCTCTGCTCACCGGTTGCCTCGCGGCTTGCCCTCGCCTGTTTATCTGAGCGCAAATGTGCGGGTCTGCCACCCTGCGCCGGGGTCTGCTCGGT